ATATATATATAATTATATATAATATATATATAATATATATTAAATATTATATAATATAAATAATTAAATAAATATATAATATATATTATATAATATATATAATTATATATATTATAGCTTAATAGCTTATAATAATTATTATTGTATATTATATAATAAACATAATTAATTTGAAGATGACCTCTTTCAAGAAAAAAACAAAACAAATATTTCATTGTCTAACAAAAATAAGAATTTAGAAAAAAATTATTTTAAAGAAAACATTTAAAAAAACAATACCTATAGAAGAAATTAAATAGATATTCATTAAAAAATATCTTTGATCTCTTAAAATAAATCCATGAATCCATGAAGATTAAAATACGAAAACAATTATTTCAAACAAATATGTAATTTCAATATTCTATCTTTCATTTCAAGATAAAACATTAATATTATGTATAAAAATAAATAACAATACCACAAACTGAATCATTTAGTGGGTTTAAAGTTGCTATGACGGGTTAGATTTGCTTTGGTGCAGCGATGTTCGATATGGCGCCCTCTGATGGTAAGCTCTGTTATTAGAGCACGAGAAGCAGTGGGGGAATAGAGTGTAGCAACGGAGCGTGCGTCTACGTCAAGAAAAGCTTTGAGCTTATTGGTCCCGGTCCATTGTTGCGTATTGATTGCTGCAGAGCGGTGGTATGGTCGTTGGGACACTCGGTCGTCCTCATCGCCGTCGTCGTCGTCGTCGTCGTCGGTGGTACAGTCGAGTAGGTTAAGAAAGCGGGACACGCGTACAGATAGATCGGTTTTCCGTGTCGTTGTGATCGAAAGCGCGTTTCATCGCGTGCGATCCATGGATCTGGGTTTACTATATAATAATTACACGTAAAATATACAAGTATATATACAAATTATATACGTATTTCTTCATATATACATATAATTATACTTTCACATATACATGTATATAGGTGACACACGCGACACTTGTAAGTATAAGTATAAGCGCGCGCGCGCGCAATATATACACGCAATAAAATATATAAACATATAAACACATGCACGATACAAATAAAAATTATTTCCATATATGTATATACGCATACATATACACGCATACACGCGCGCGCATCTACATATACGTTATACATGTACATAAACATTTACTTATAGATATAACAGATACATACGCACGATCGTGTGCGCGCGTGCCTACATATATATTTACACATATTCCATATAGGAATATATAAATATGTACGTATATATTTATGTACATATAATACAAAATTGATATAATTATAAATGAAATACGAATACACAGATGAACATGTTGATGCGCACAGTATAGGCAATATACAAATATACGTATATAAAGAAACGTAAAGATACACGCGATATACAGAACATCGAATACAGGCACGTACGTATGTGTATATACGTGGACGCACGCGTATGTATACATCATCGTAGTTGTGGTGTCAGTGGGTTGTTTTCTTGTTTTCTGTTTCTCCCTCTTTCGAGATTGGAACTACCTGCAGCA